ATGTGCAAATTTCTAACTTATCAATTATGCAAAATAAAGAATAATTAATCTCTAGCTTTAAAGTACCTCGGTCCCATTATGGCGATTAGGTTCCCCGTCACAGCACAACCAGACACTGCAATCCACGTAAATTCACACTTAAACAGAAAACCTCCAAAAAAATCTTCACTTTCTCAAAATTTAATAATCACTCGGTAAAAACTCTTTCTTTAAATACCACCTCCTTTCAAAATGGTCGAAGATTCTTTGAACTGTCTTCTCCTACAATTTCCCCACACACTTTGCGAGAAATTTCTTTTCTCAGACACAGTCACCGTCAGATTATTCCAAGTAAGCGTCGTTTCGATATTTTCAAAATCAGCTGAAAATATCATTTCGCGAAATTCACGGATGCTGAACGAAATCGCGAGAGATTCTGAAGAGATTCCAGGACAAATTAGTTCCTTAGTGTCGCTTATCATTGTTATCTCGTGGACACTTCTAGATCTGGAATAATTATGTCTTCATATAGACAGAGCAGATAAAAGACTAGCTGGAAGTTTAATTAGAAAATGAAGCACGGTTGAATTTTTATCTCGTGTTTTTTTGAAGCTTCTTCTTATGTACTGGGTGTCCTGTGAATCGTGGTAAATCAACTGGTGATTCGACAGAGGTAAATCCTTGATAAAAAATTTTTCAAAGTACAAAATGTGGAATGAAGTGTTTTGATTAATTATTCTACATTTTTTATTTATTTATTTTTCTTATAAAGAATGAACTCCTTGTCAGTTTTACTGCAATTTTATAAGTGACAAAGTGATTCCTTGATAAAGTAAAGAAATTTTTAAAATACAAAACGTAGAATTAAGTTTTTTTTATTAATTATTCTACGTTTTTATTTATTTTCTGTATTATGATTTACAAGACTCCCTATATTTGTGAAAAGTGTACTGTAAAAGAGTGACGAAGAGCTCCCGCGATTGAGGTTGAGTTTAATGAAGATCTTTTTCAGCAAGAAGTTTCAGTGAAGAGGAAAACAGAGCAATAAAGAGTAAGCTTTATTAATCCACTCGTACTACTGAAGTTCAGTGAAGTGTTGCTTCACTTTATGACTGAACTACGTTCTCAGAGGGACATTTCGACTCTTTTCTTTTTATCCTGAAAGAGATTGGGGGATACGTTTGTTGGAGGTAATTAAAATTTTTGAAATAGTGTCAAAGGATGAAATCTTTCATTTTATAAAAATTAATTCTGTCTATCTTCCAAGAGTGAATTCTTATTTCACAAAAATTAATTTTTAAGATATTCCAAGGTTGAA